GGACTTGGGTGGAATTTTGGGATTTTTTGATGGAATTTTGGGGGTTTGGGGTGCAATTTTGGGGGTTCCAGTTGGAATTTTGGGATTTTCAGGTGGAATTTGGGGGGACTTGAGTGGAATTTGGGGATTTTCGGATGGAATTTTAGGGGTCCTGAGGGGAATTTTGGGATTTTCAGATGGAATTTTGGGGGTCTCGGATGGAATTTGGGGGGACTTGGGTGGAATTTTGGGATTTTCGGGTGGAATTTTGGGGGTTTGGGGTGAAATTTTGGGATTTTCAGATGGAATTTGGGGGGACTTGGGTGGAATTTTGGGATTTTTTGGATGGAATTTGGGGATTTTTGGAGGGAGTTTTGGGGGTTTCAGGTGGAATTTTGGGGTCTCGGATGGAATTTGGGGGGACCCGGTTGGAATTTTGGTATTTTCAGATGGAATTTTGGGGCTCCTGGGGGAAATTTGGGGGGTCTTAGTTGGGAATTTTGGGATTTTCGGATGGAATTTGGGGGGACTTGGGTGGAATGTGAGAAATTTTGGGTGAAATTTTGGGGGTTCTGGGTGGAATTTGGGGGGTCCCAGTTGGAATTTTGGGATTTTCAGATGGAATTTTGGGGGGTTCTGGGTGGAATTTGGGGATTTTTGGATGGAATTTTAGGGGTCCTGAGGGGAATTTGGGGTCCAGTTGGAATTTGGGGATTTTCGGATGGAATTTTGGGGGTCCTGGGAGGAATTTGGGGATCTTAGTTGGGAATTTTGGGATTTCTGGAAGGAAATTGGGGGGTCCCAGTTGGAATTTTGGGATTTTTGGGTGGAATTTGGGGGTCCTGGGTGGAATTTGGGGATTTTTGGGTGGAATTTTGGGGGTCCCGGATGGAATTTGGGATTTCCAGAAGGAATTTGGGGGTCTCGGGTGGAATTTTGGGGTCTGGGGGGGGGGATTTTGGGGTTCCAGATGGAATTTGGGATTTCCAGTTGGAATTTTGGGGGGACGTGGGTGGAATTTTGGGGTTTTTTGGATGGAATTCGGGGGGAATTGGGTGGAATTTTGGGATTTTTGGATGGAATTTTGGGGGTTCTGGGTGGAATTTGGGGGTTCCTGGGTGGATTTTGAGGTTTCCCATCAGAATTTTGGGGTTTCCAGTTGGAATTTTGACATTTCCTGTTGGAATTTGGGATTTCCAGAAGGAATTTTGGGGTTTTCCACTGAAATTTGGGGTTTCTGGTCAGAATTTTGGGGTTTCCCGCTGGAATTTTGAGGTTTCCTGTTGGAATTTTGGTGTTTCCCCCAAAACCTTGCCCCGACCCCAAACGGAATTTTGGGATTTTCCCCCTTCCAGGGCGACCCCGGCGAACCCGGAACTCCAGGAATCCAGGGAGAACCGGGAATCAAGGTCAGACCCCTCCCCAAAAAAACCCCCCAAAACCCCAAAAAAAACCCCAAAAAACCCCCCTGGATATCGAGGGGCTCAGGGAGGACGGGCTCAGGTGGGACCCAAAAAACCCCGAATTCACCCCAAAAATACCCCAAAAATATCTTCAAAATATCCCCTCAAAAACTGCCCCAAAACACCCCGAATTCACCCCAAAAATATCCCAAAAACCCCATAAAAACCCCTAAATCCTATAAAAATCCTATAAAATCCTATAAAAACTCCAAATTCCCCCATTTTAGGGCCACGGCCCAAAAAATCAAATTAAAACCCCATAAAACCCCTTAAAAACCCCATAAAAACCCCCAAATCCTATAAAATCCTATAAAATCCTATAAAATTTTATAAAACCCTATAAATTTCCCAATTTTAGGGCCAAGGCAGAGGAGCTGCATGCCTGGATCCGCAGCTCGAGTCCCCAAACCCCAAAAAATCAAATTAAAACCCCAAAAAATCAAATTAAAACCCCATAAAATCGAATTAAAACCCCATAAAAACCCCCAAATCCTATCCCCAAAAAACCCCCCAAAAAATCCCCCAAAAAATTCCAAAAAAATCCCAAAAAAACCCCCAAAACTCCCAACAATTTGGAGCCCATCCCGATTTTCCCCCGGAATTTCCAGGGCCCGCGCGGGGACCGGGGGGAAAAGGGAGAATCCGGAGCCGCCGGAGCCGCCGGACCCCCGGGCGGGAAAGGCCCCCCCGGCGACGACGGCCCCAAAGGAAACCCCGTGAGCCCCAAATCCCCAAAATCCCCAAATTCCCGGGATTTTGGGCCAGCCCGAGGGGGTTGGGATGGCGCAAATCCCAAAATTTTTCCCTTTTTTCCCGTTTTTTTAAAATGAAATTTAGGGCCCCGTGGGATTCCCCGGAGATCCCGGCCCCCCCGGAGAGATGGGCCCCAGGGTGAGCGATTCCCGAAAAAGCCCCCAAAATTTGGGATCAACGCCCAAAATTTGGGATCGGCCCCCAAAATTTGGGGTCGGGGGTGGTTCTTTCCCTGGGATTTGGGGGAAAATCCGGGGATTTTGGTGCTCCCGCAGGGCCAGGACGGAGCCAAGGGCGAGCGCGGCGAGGATGGAGAGCCCGGAGAGCCGGTGAGAGATCCCGGAATTCCCGGAATTCCCGGAGACCCCAAACCTCGGGAATTTGGGATCCTGAGCCTCAGGAATTTTGGGATCACGTTGAGCGGAAATTTGGGGAATTTGGGATCATGATTTTTGGAAAATTTGGGATCCCGATCCTTGGGAATTTGGGATCCTGAGCCTTGGGAATTTTGGGATCACGTTGATTGGGAATTTTGGGATCCTGGTCTTTGGGAATTTGGGATCCCGAGCCTCAGGAATTTGGGATCACATTGAGGGGGAATTTTGGGATCATAATTTTTGGGAATTTGGAATCCCAGTCCTTGGGAATTTGGGGATCCTGGTCTTTGGGAATTTGGGATCACAGTTTTTGGGAATTTTAGGATCCCAATCTTTGGGAATTTTGGGATCCTGAGCCTTGGGAATTTTGGGATCACATTGAATGGGAATTTGGGATCCCGGTCCTTCGGAAATTTGGGATCATGCTGAGTGGGAATTTTGGGATCCTGAGCCTTGGGAATTTGGGATCGAGTGGAGTGAGAATTTGGGAATCCCGATCCCTGGGAATTTTGGGATCACGATCTTCAAGAATTTGGGATCCCAATCTTTGGGAATTTGGGATCCTGAGCCTTGAAAATTTGGGATCACGTTGACCAGGAATTTTGGGATCCTGAGGCTCAAGAATTTTGGCATCCCGGTCTTTGGGAATTTGGGATCACGATTTTTGGAAAATTTGGAATCCAAATCCTTGGGAATTTGGGGATCCCAATCTTTGGGAAATTTGGGATCCTGGGCCTCAGGAATTTGGGATCACGTTGAGCAGGAATTTTGGGATCCTGGCCCTTGGGAATTTGGGATCACAATTTTTGGGAAATTTGGGATCACGATTTTTGGAAAATTTTGGATCCCAATCCTTGGGAATTTTGGGGTCGTGGTCTTTGGGAATTTGGGATCACGTTGAGTGAGAATTTTGGGATCACCTTGAGTGGGAATTTGGGATCACGATTTTTAGAAAATTTGGGATCCCAGTCCCTGGGAATTTGGGATCTTGATCCTTGGGAATTCTGAGATCACATTGAGCCTTGGGAATTTTGGGATCCCAATCCTTGGGAATTTGGGATCCCAATCTTTGGGAATTTTGGGATCCTGAGCCTTGGGAATTTTGGGATCACGTTGATTGGGAATTTTGGGATCCTGGTCTTTGGGAATTTGGGATCCCGAGCCTCAGGAATTTGGGATCACATTGAGGGGGAATTTTGGGATCATAATTTTTGCATTTTCCCCCCGTTTTTCCCTGGTTTTTTCCCCATTTTCCCCCGTATTTTCCCCCATTTTCCCCATTTTTTCCCATTTTCCCCCCGTTTTTCCCCAGGGTCCGGCCGGATCTCGAGGTCCCGAAGGGCGCCAGGGCGGGAAGGGAGCCAAGGTGGGAGATCCCAAATTCCCTCCCAAAATTCCCCCCAAAATCCCTCCCGAAATCCCAAAAATCCCTCCCAAAATCCCTCCTGGAAACCCCAAAATCCCCTCAGAAACCCCAAAATCCCTCCCGAAATCCCAAAAATCCCCCCGGAAACCCCAAAATTCCCCTCAGAAACCCCAAAATCCCTCCCGAAATCCCTCCTGGAAACCCCAAAATCTCCTCAGGAACCCCAAAATCCCTCCCGAAATCCCCCCAAAATTCCTCTTGGAAACCCCAAAATCCCCTCGGGAACCCCAAAATCCTTCCCAAAATCCCCCCAAAATTCCCCGAATTCACCCCTGAATCCCCAAAATCCCTCCCAGAATCCCCAAAATTCCCCTGGAAACCCCAAATTCCCCCCAGAATTCCCCCTGGGAACCCCAAAATTCCTCCCAAAATTCCTTCCAAAATTCCCAGAAACCCCAAAATTCCTCCCAAAATCCCCCAAACTCCAAGAATCCCCAAACTTCCTCCTAGAATTTCCAAAATTCCAACGGAAATCCCAAAATCTCCTTGGGAACCCCAAAATCCCCCCCAGAACCGCCAAAATTCCCCCTGGGAACCCCAAAACTCCTCCCAAAATCGCCCCAAAATTCCTCCCAGGATTTCCAAAATGCCCCCAGAAACCCCAAAATCTCCTTGGGAACCCCAAAATTCCCCCCCTGAATCCCCAAATTTCCCCTGGAAACCCCCAAATCCCCCCGGAATTCCACCTGAGAACCCCAAAATTCCTCCCAAAATCCCCAGAAACCCCAAAATTCCCCCCCTGAATCCCCAAATTCCTCTTGGAAACACCAAAATCCCCCCTGGGAACCCCAAAACCCCCTCGGGAACCCCAAAATTCCTCCCGAAATTCCCTCAATTCCCCCAGAAACCCCAAAATCTCCTCGGGAACCCCCAAAATTCCCCCCTGGAATCCCCAAAATTCCCCCTGGGAACCCCAAAATTCCCCCTGGGAACCCCCAAAATTCCTCCCTGGAATCCCCAAAATCCCTCCAAGAAGCCCCAAAATCCCCCCGGAAACCCCAAAATTTCCCTGGAAACCCCAAAATCTCCCCAGAATTCCCCCTGAGAACCCCAAAACTCCCCCCAAAATTCCTCCTGGGAACCCCAAAA